GGGTTGTTGTTTTTTTGTTTTTTTTTTATCCATGATGCACTCTTCCAGCTCAAACTTTGCAGGTAGATCAAAACAGAACCGCTTGGGTCTCTGGTACAATTTTTATTACCCGTGATTTTTAATGTTTCAGATTTGCTTCTAAAGCTGTTCTTTCAAATGTAGATGTCTCTAAAACGCTGTGATTTTAACAGTTTGACACTTGAATCAAAAGAAAAGTCTTAAAGAAGGTTTGCAAATCAAACATTTATACACATATACTGTATATGCAGAAAAACAGGGTTGTAGGAGTTTACAGAACGTCCTTCTCTCAATAATGAAGTCTGTGGGCTATATACGAGTCTCCAGCACAGCTTGTTAAGCTTCCTAGTGTCACGGGCTTTGATGTTGTTAGCCCAGCAGATGGCTAGAAAGAAAACTGCACTAGCAACAGAAAAAGTGCAAAATTTAGCTACACACATATTTCTTGAAAAACCCTAAGCTTCCTGATGAAGTAGAGTCTGCTCTCTCCATTTGTGTGAACAGCCTCAGCATTACATTTCCAGTCCAGCCTGTTTTTCAGCTGAGATGAGTCCTGAATCATCTGTTCAGCTTCTCCACTGTACCAACATTTGGTCTGCTCTCTTGCAGGAGATGGCAGCTGTAAAGGAATTTATCGAGAAGCTTTTGCCCCGGATCTGACCTCACCTCATCCCCACTGTGACCCCCTTTGAGACACTGACCTTTCACCCCTTTTCTGCCATTCTCCCACAGGAAACAGCCATGAGCACCCCCTCCCACACACATCCACGAGACAGCAAACATACACGAACACGCACATATTTAGTAACGATGATAACGATGATTTGACCCACACTGCTAAACCAACCAAATCTTCTCCTGCGGTCCAGCAACACTCATACTGTTAACAGATTTGTCAAACACACTGATTTGAAGTGCTTGCATTTACACGTCTTAGCCTTCGGAGGGAGAAACACTGAAAACTCAAACATTAAATTCCTGTTTGGCTTCTGTTTTACAACGTCTGTCTGTTGCCTCATTCTCATTTCCCCTCATTTTTACATCATTTAGCTTCTCACTCATTGCTACACTTATCCTTCTGGCATTGCTGTGTGACTTTGTAAATCAAGAAAATCAAGATTAACACAGAGCAAATAAGCAGGTTGGCACTCGCCTGCAAACACACCGCTGTTTTAAGGTGCAGTCAGACCAGATTATGCATCCTAATTCTTTTTCCTGCAGTTTGACGTGCCTTCTTAGCTTCACAGGTGGAGTCGCGTGAAACTTTAATATGTGATCGCTCTCAAGGTGCATGAGTTTGAGGGGGAAAAAGGTGGATTTGGCTTCTTATTCATTCTTGCTTTATGACTACAGCCTAAAAGTTGGGTGCATGAACATAAGCAGTAGAAACACAAATAAAATGCAGCATAATCTACAAGCTTGTAGAGGCCTGCCATGTAATTGCCCCATTTGTTTATGCTTGCAATCCTACCCGCCCTGTCTCCTGAACCCTTCTGTTATCTGGTCTGACTGCAGCTTCACTCCAGTGTTGGGTACCCAACAGAGTTTGACTCGGGGATAGTGAGCGCCAACCCATCCTTTCCAATCATGACTGCGGCCTGTCCAGGTCTTGCATCGTTAACAGCAATGGCTCTTTTTACTAAATCTTGCACACAAGGCTGCCATGCTGCTTCTTTCCTCTTTTTTTTTTTTTTTTTTTTTAAAGAAATGTGATCAAACATCATGGAAGTATATGATCAGAGTCCAACAGAAATAAAGCTAATCAGTGGATACTCGTGCTACCCTGTGCTGTTTCTTTCAAAGCGTGCACACCTGCAGGTTGATCTGCTTTCTATGTATCTATATGTGAAAGTACCTCAGTTTTTTCCTTTAGGCCTAAAGGCGAATGACTGATGATGGCTGCAGACCTGCACAGACTGCACACCATGACTGGTTTCAGCAGCAGTTCACCCCCACTAACAGCCTCCTCCTCTTCATGAATTCCTGTTGATTTCCACTATTTATTTTCTTTAAACCTCTGGTAAAACACACTTCCTCTACATTTTCTTCCATAACACCAACACAGTCTCGCTCCCTCCTTTGGGTCCCCACTAATAAAATATGGAAAGGTCAGCAACACTATTATATTCCACTTTAGAAAATAATGGCTATACAAAGGGAGCACTTTGGCAAGAAAATGGTCCAACATAATTGAAGGGTGAAAAAAAATTAAAGTTAATCTTTGAACAACTTGTGATCTTTGGACATAGGAGTGTAACTCTGAGGAGTCGTGTGTGTGCTTAAACATATATATATATCAGGTGTTTTACAGTTTTTCCTTTGTGAATATTGATTTTGCTCTCTTCTTAATTTCCTGTTTCCTGTTCTGCTGTATCACTGTTCCCAGCCTGATTTTAAAACAAGAAACCAGTAGAGAAGGATGAAAGGCATCTGTTTTGATTGTTGTTCACAACTCGATGAATGTGTCTCCTCTCCTCGACTCCTTGTGTATTTTTCTTATTTTTTTGCTCTAATTAGGTCCGTTATTTTCTCTTTGATGTGTTTGCCATTTTTCTTTCATCATTCCACTTGTTCCTCTCGTCTCGTGTCTTTTCTCCTGGGTTGTATTGTTGTGGTTTGTTTGTTTTTTTTTCTTTTTTTTTTTTTTTTTTAATGTTGTTTTGTCACTGTTGTCATCTCATCCTTTTTTGTGTTGGTTTATAATGATGAGCATTAAGGAAACGTGTTCAGGTGAGGCTGAGGTGGTCTCTCCTCTTTTTTTTTTTTGTTTCCAAAACACCTGTATGCGTAATAAAAAAAAAAGAAAAAAGTCCGTCTGAGTTGAGCGTCACTCATTTTTCTAATGTGTATCTGCAGATTCATACACACTCATTCATGGGGTTTCCATATTTTTACTCTCTAATAATAATCTAATCTAATATCTAATAATACTTTAATGGTCGTGGGCAGCGTTTCAAACACTTGATTATTTTGAATGTTTCTATGATATGACGTAGACAACATCAAAGACTTTTATTGATAAATAAGTCACATCTACGCCGAGTCAGCATTAACCTTTGCTGACATGCAGCACATCAGCTTCTGGGTCGAATATTGATTGATGGTGATCCATTCCTGCCCTATCGGTGCTTGAACTTGATCATAGTTTGTGGGCGTCTTCGTCCACTTGCTTTTTAAGGATTAACCATGGATTTGCAATCCGATTAACATGTGAGGAATGTAGCGTTGGATTCAAAATCTGAATTTGATGATTTTGCAGCCACTTAGTTACAAAGTTTGTTTTTTTACTCCATCATGGTGAAAAATGGAGAGAAATTACACCTTGATCCTTGGTAAAAGCTGGTCTTTGAGGATGTTTTAAGTCTTGTCAGTCTGTCAAAGGTGTCTCCTTTTGCTCTGAAGAAAAACTTTGCCCACTGAAGCCAGTTTTGAAGGAGTTCTCACATACTTGGAGCACGTGTCAGTGGCTTTTCCTTCACATGCCTTGCAGTTAGGTTAAGGGTGGCTGTGCCTCAGGAGGTAGCCATGTGTGATGGAAAGAAGCTTAAAGACACTAAATTAAGTGCTTTATGACTCAGACTGGGTGACTGTAGCTTATAGTAAACACTGGATTCACATGTGAGTTTGCATAGATTCAGCTCACTTTATTGATCCCAGGAAAAAATCATTTGCAGCTAACCTGCATAACCTACAAACCTGAAACATTCATTACAAACACTGTTACATGTCAAGTTACAGATCAACAAACATTGAGGTGAATAGACAAATGGCAATAAAATAAATTGTCTAAATGACATCTGCCAGAGATGTGTGATCTAATAGCCAAGGGACTGAAGTGGTGCAGTACTTCTATGGCACTTTTCTTTTTAATTTGAGCACTCTCTAACTACAAGCCTCACTCACCCACATTATTCAAGTGCTTTTTTCATGCCTAAGCACTTTTAATCAACAGGCACATTGGATACATCAAGGGAAACATGAGGTTTAGTGTCTTGCCCACAGACATTTCAACATTCAGGTGATCGAATAACTAAGCAGAGGTCTTTTTAGTTTTTTAGTAAGGTTTTAACATGTGTTTTTTCTTCCTGGACATTCTACTTCTACCACCATGTTTGCTGTTGCACAACTCTCCCATAAAATTCAGTTCAGGGTTTGTTAACTGCCATGTCTCTCTCTTGTGATAGTTTTTATTACGTGGGCTGGAGAAATGCTAAAAGCAAAATAATTTCCCACTAAGGCAAACCCCAGTGTCACTGCAGTGTGATATAAACGCCCAGTTAAGAGTTACCTTCAATTCTCTTTAAATCTTTATGCCATATGTTTACTAATAAATCTAAAAATCAACCTACTGAATTCTAAACAAGTCCTTCAGGATTTTTTTTCTCAATAGTTTTCTCACTAATGTTTTTTAAGCTAGGACTGATTAACACAAACCCCTGCAAACAGCTGTTGTTCAAATGGGTCTGAAAGCTTAGTCTGAGCTGTATGAGCTTCTTCTCTGTAGAGGAAAAACGTATTCTTACTTTCATTGGACAGTGCTCACTGTTAACCCGTTTAATCCGTGTTTGATTGTTTCCGTGACTTTATTTGGAGCAGGAGTGCGTCAGTTCCACTAGCAGCCACACATTGAAGTGAAAATTACATCAAGGGCCAGATATATAAAGTGTATTCACGTGCTTTAATTTAAAGTGAAATGCATATAAAAAGGATACCCTTCTTATGCATAATCTGGGTCATAAAGTCAGCAATAGTCACTGTGGGACTGTTCCACTGTGCAGGCTACAGTACCAAACAGATAGCTATGTGACAACGAATTGTTTCAGATTTCTTTGAGCAATGATTAACAGCTCTTTCATTCGAGCAATGGCCGCCTCTTTACATACATATGAGAGCAGAGTTGGTGATTTCAGGACTGGCTCCTTCGAAAAACTCTTACTCCGCCTCCTGTACAACGGACCAATCAATGGGACTGGGCGGAGCCAGACGTCTGCGTACTGGAGAAAGAAAGAAAATACGTTAACTATTGGTCGCCATTTTGAGAACCTGCGAACAGCCTTTGGAGGTGGTTGTTGAGCAGTAGACCTTTAATTCTTTTGGTATTTTAAAAATAATTTTTGCCTATATATTAGGACCAATGTCTCGATTCAACAATAATCGTGGCGGCTTTGGAATGAATCATTTCCAGCCGCGCAGAGGAAGTGGGCCCGGCGGCCCCATGCGAGGTGGGCTTATGGGAAACCCAAATTTTAGGCATAATCCTTTCCAGAATCAAAATCAAAACCGGAGGGGACACAACTTCAACAGACCACCACACCAAGGATCGCAGAACACTCCCCAGAAGCCGCAACAGAACCAGTCGCTACCCATCATCCCTCCGCCGACTCCAGGCCCGGCTCTTACGATGGAAGGCCCGATTAAGCAGCAACAGCATCAGAAACCGGCACAAGAGCAGCAGAAATCCACAACCCCTGCGCCCCAGCCGAAAGTTCAGTCACCACCACCCACACCTAACGTGACCTCCCCTCAGCCAAACCAGGCAAACAAGAACCTGAACCAGCAGCTGAAGTCACCCGTGGCAAATGCTAACGGTCAGCAGCAGAAGCCGACTCCACACCCAAGCCCGAAAGCAGTTGGGCCGCAGCAAGGTCAGAAACCAAGCCCTCAGCAAAGCCAGAAGCCGGGACCCCAGCAGGGCCAGAAGCCAGGACCCCAGCAGGGCCAGAAGCCGGGACCCCAGCAGGGCCAGAAGCCGGGACCCCAGCAGGGCCACAAGCCGGGACCCCAGCAAGGCCAGAAACCAGGACCTCAACAAGGCCAGAGACCAGGACTTCAACAAGGCCAAAATACAGGGCCACCGGCCATGAAAGTCAGTCAACAGTCACGAGATACCATGAACACTGACGCAAGTCAGTCAGAAGAGAGGCAATCTAAGGTTTGCTTTATTTAGTTTTATCTTAATTTTTATAAACGCCCAAGTGGCGTCGGTAGTCGCTATCTGCTAACACTAGCCAAACCAGCCGCGTGGTGCTCGATATGACACTTTAAACAGCCCTGTCGGGCGGAGTTGTTTGTGTTATCCTTACAGTTATTAGGGAAGCAGTCGGGCGCTCGCTCCGGCGGGCAGTCGCGGTGCATAAAAGAATACATCCTGCAACGTTATTGCTTTTAGCTAGCGGCCATCTTGTTCAAGTATAGAAATTAGTTCTATTTTAACGCTTTTAAAAGGAAAAATATATTTTCAGTGATGGGTTTCATCTGTTAACCTGAACAATTTTGGGTGAACTAGTTTGTCGACAGTGGTATTTCATATTATTTTCCGTGTTGGATTTTTTTCTTTTTACTTCACAAAGCGAGTGAGGGGGATGGGCGAACGGAGATCGAAATACGGACGCGAGCACAAATCATAACATAAAGTTAATCTGAAAATGATGATCTATTGGGCGTCAAATAATTTGTATATTTTTCTGTTTTCTATATATGTATACGAATTTAAAAAAAAAAATCGGTCTTGTTTTTCTTAGGCTGAGTTCAAGGCGACGCTGTCCATGTTGCTGAAGCCAGGTGAGAAGTCCTACACACAGCGGTGCCGCTTGTTTGTTGGTAACCTGCCCAACGACATCACAGAGGACGATTTCAGGAAGATGTTTGCAAAATATGGGGAGCCCACTGAGGTCTTTATCAACAAGGGGAAAGGCTTTGGTTTCATCCGACTGGTAAGGGTCACACGCTTGAATTGAAACAGGTTTTTGTTACTGTAATAAGTAAAGGGACTCTTTTAAATAACATTTTTCTTTTATCTAGGAATCTCGGGCACTTGCAGAGATAGCAAAAGCTGAGCTGGATGACACACCGATGAAGGGCAGACCCTTGCGTGTCCGATTTGCTACACACTCTGCAGCGCTGTCTATAAAGAATCTGTCACCATTTGTTTCCAATGAACTCCTAGAGGAAGCTTTCTCACAGTTCGGAATGGTAGAGAGGGCCATCGTGGTTGTAGATGATCGTGGACGCTCTACGGGCAGAGGAATTGTTGAATTTGCCTCCAGACCTGCTGCCAGAAAGGCTTTAGAGAGGTGCAACGAGGGGGTCTTTCTGCTCACTACGTAAGTCTAATTATATTAGTTGAGTAGAAGGGGGGTATTTGAGTTGGAAGATATTTTTAAAAGGTTCTTGAAGCCCTTGCTCTTTTTCTTTCTTTTTAAAAAAAAAAAAAAAATTGTATTTCACCTTCTGCAGTTCTCCTCGGCCTGTTGTTGTCGAGCCTCTGGAGCAGTACGATAGTGAAGATGGTCTTCCAGAGAAGTTGGCACAGAAGAACCCCAAATATAAAACGTGAGTACTGGTTTGTTCTTGGTGCAACATCATGCAGATGGCAGGGAAATCTTACTTTTTCCTTAAGTTGCACTAATCATACTAACACCACCATAAAATAGCCAGTGGAATGAACTATGAGTAGGTCTTGAAGCAGGTGCATTTTGGTCTCTTGACGCAATCGTCTTTATTATGCAAATTACTTTCTTCGGGTCATTAGGTCATTTATTTGTGAGTAGCAGATGGTGGGATGGGGAAGGTGGGGGTGGTGGACTCAGCTGTTAAAGGTCAACCTTCTCTGAGGCTCTGCAGATGTTAATCTGAGTAAAATCCCACATTGGCAAACAACAGAAAACTAAACCATTGCATATAGTATAAAATTGGCGACTATTGAATCATTGAAATGAGGAAGTATGGTGTAGTAAAACTAAAGTTTCACTTTGCATTCATTTTATCTTAGAAGATCTTTCAATGCAATTTTTAGTAACTCAGGTGAATGCTGACATGTTCCTGTCAATCTAATGTACTCTACGTTATGGTCTTTGTGTCTTTAGAGAGCGTGAGGAGCCTCCTCGCTTTGCCCGTCCAGGCACTTTTGAATTTGAGTATGCAAAGCGCTGGAAATCCCTTGATGAAATGGAAAAGCAGCAAAGACAACAAGTGGAGAAGAACATGCGTGAGGCCCGTGAGAAACTCGAGAGCGAGATGGAGGATGCTTACCATGAGCACCAGGCCAATCTGCTCCGTCAAGGCAAGTTTAGATATGGAAGACCTGCAATTCTCATAATTTGTTATATATGTCACTCATTAGATGTGGGTTATCCTACTGCTGTAAATGTAATGCGTTGTGTTTTCATTCAGATCTGTTGAGGCGACAGGAAGAACTGAGGCGTATGGAGGAGATGCACAATCAGGAGATGCAAAAGAGGAAGGAAATGCAGCTCAGGTATTTTATGTCATTAAATTGCAGCTGGTTGTTGTTTGGAACAGGTGTTGAGTTCTCTTAAAACATGGACTACATTTGACTAATTATCTGGCATTTTTAAACAGACAAGAGGAAGAGCGACGCAGACAGGAGGAGGAGATGCTTCGGAAGAGAGAGTTGGAAGAACAGATGCGCCGTCAGCGTGAGGAGAACTACAGGATGGGCAGCTTTATGGATGTTAGTTAAACTTAACTTGGGAGTCAAAAACATCAGTTCAACAACCAGTTACTGCCTACATTAATCTTAATTTCTTTGTTTTACAGAGGGACAGAGAAATGAGAATGCATCCTGGTGGAGCTTTGGGCATGGGTGGTAAGTGTCTTTTGTTTAAATTAAGAAATCATGACAGAAATCCAGACACCACAGTGGCTAAAAAGGTGACCAAAACATTTTAGGCATTAGATGATGAAATGCACAGTGTTGCAAAAAGACAATTCCAGCCTATTCCTTTACAGTAACTGAAGTATTAAACATTCTGTAATAAAGTAGCTTCTTTTTTTAAGTAGACGTAGAGTTTAGTGAAATAAAATGGACAAAATAGTCCAGTATGATTTTAAAATGACACAAAGGTAGAACAATTCCATAAGAAGAAAAAGTAAAATAAAAAAAGAGCTAAAACAATAAAATCTAAATGTAAAGTATGAAGGAAGCTCATAAAGTAGGTCTGTGTAAAAATAATGCACATGTGGAGATATCAGGAAGGGAAGACTTGATTTTGTTAGACTAGATTTGGTAGGAAATGTACAAACAACGTCAGTGCTCTATGTGTAGGCTTGTCAGTAGTGTATTTAAAAAAACAAAACAAAAAAAAAAAACAACTTCTGCAAGCATGCAAATAGAAGCTGTTGGGGGTAGCAGGTGTTAAACGTTTCTAAACTGGTACTTGCTTTGGTGTCAACTTCATTCGTGTTACATTACATTTCCCCCTAGCAACTAAATGACAGCTGGCTATGTTAGCTTGTAGCTTGTAAAGCTGCTGATAGCTGAGTCAAATATTAGATCAGTATCAGTATTCAGGCCAGTATCTATGCGAGTGTTATAGCTCTTGAAATTCTGTTGAGGCAGCTTTACCATCAGCAGGATGTGTCTGAGTTTTTACTCCTCAGCCGTAAAAGACTGGTGGGGTATTGTCGTCACGCAGATGGGCAGGCAGCATGGAGTCCAATCCTAAGTTGGAGACCTACAATTTTTGAAATGGATAAATAGGGGTGTGTAGTAGGAGGCTGAGGGGGGTAGCATTGGTATTTTTAATTCATGTGCTGTATGAATACCTAACATGTTTTCCTGTTTGCTCTTTAGATATGTCCTTTGGTGGATCCTCACAGAAATTCTCTATGAGCGGGCTTGGGTTTGAGAGTCAGCAGGGAATGGGAGGACCAGGAGGCCTGATGGGCAACGAAATGGTAATGTATCCCACTTGTGGGAATTTCAGTAGTTAATATAGTTTTGTTTGGCTTTCCCTTTGGTTGGAGACTCCCAGCCATGTTTTTATTTTTTTGTTTTTTCTCTTCCTTTCTTCGTGTTAACACGATGTCCAGTTGTCTAAGCAGGATGGCAGAATGAGTGATTTGTGTTCTCAGCTATCACTGGATGGCTTTCTGGTTGTTGAATGTGACACACGCTCACTGCTTTTATAGGGTTTGTTTGTTTTCCTTTTTTTCAGTAGCAAGCCGAGCCCCCTCAGTTAATAGTCCCACAAGCCATTACTGCTTTTAAGCTATAAAACCGTCAGCTTGCACTAAATGATCATCTCAGTGTGTTTCAAACAGCTGTAGAAAAACTTTGCTGGCTCTGCTCACTCCTATCATGCTGTTTGTGTAGTGGACTGCTATTGCAAGCCCTGTCTTATGTGAGCTGGACAGGCACGTTTTCTTGACTGAGGAGAGCATTGGTATCCAGTATTATTTTTTATTTTTTATTTTAAGAATTTTCCATTTTTTTTCTACTACCAATTTCATGCCTCATTTGTCTATCAGGAGAACTGAAGTTGTGTGTGAACAGGCTTCCTTTTTCCACCCTTAAATGTATTTAATTATATTTTTTGAGGGGGGGGGCGTTGAAGTGTGGTGGAAAACTTCTGGACCAGCAACCTTTACCTTCTCATCAGTATCTCTTTTTGTAATTGAGCTTTGAAACCTTGTAACACTTTTAGTGCCTGATGACGGTGTAAAGCTTTGAGTTTGACGAAGATTACAGCATGATTAACTGATGGGGGCTGGCGTAGCCTTGTGACTTTGTTCAGATGATGTCGCTGAAAACTGGACCGAGCCTGGGATTTTTGTTTGTGGCAGAATTTAGACCTGAAGTCATTCGTTTCTGTATTACAGCTGACGGATGAAAAGGTTCTATAGTCCTGAATAAAAAGTAATGCTTGAACTTTAAAATAGGGTTTCTGTATTATTAAGACTTGTTACCAAAAAAAGTCTTAATAACAGACCATTAATTTAGATCTTAATGCAGGGGTGTCAAACATGAGGCCTATTGACATTTGTTTTTTATAATGGGTAGTTCATGTGTAATTAAACTAACTTAGACTGACGGAATTAAGAGTAAGTGGGTTATGTGGCCCAAATTTTATGTGCTATAAAATGAGTTTGACATACCTGCTTTAAGGCATTTTAAATACACTTTAGGAATTGCTTGCCTCATGGAGTTCATTTTACTTTTATAAAGTTATGCACTTTTGTTTGCAGCAAACCCACCTAACTTGGGTAGGTACACGGTGTAAAGCTGCCATTTAAAAATGACATGACCCACCCTGCACTAAATAGTTGAAATGGTCATATCAAATGAAGACTGTCAGTACTAGAGCATGTGAAGTTGGGGATCTAATGGCTTTTACCTAAACAGAAATTGGTTAGCCACTTTCAGCAAGTCAGCACACCTGGAGAGTGGGCTCTGCTTAAGCTGTAATATTAGAATATGTTTGGTTTATTTCCCCCCCCAAAAAACATCTGAAGCTCACAGTAGTAGGAATTAAAGGGGGGACAGTTCACCCCAAAGTCAAACGTATGCATTTTTTCCCTGGCCTGTAGTGTGCTCTGGCCATCTCAACTTTCTTGCATTTGTGAGTTGCCTAGTTTTGGAGATGAACAACTGGCTTCTCTTCTGCAATAGAACTAAACACTTGGCTTGTGCTCAGAGAGCCAAATTTTTTATTTTATTTTATTTTTGCTGTATTGCTGTCTGATTCTGGTTAACAGCAAAAGACGGTTTCTTTTTTGGGAGGTGGGAAAGATACTGTTCCTTTGAATTTCTTTAATTTGTGTTATTAATGACAAAAAGCACAGAAATTAAAACTCTATCAGACTTTATTCTTTGATAAAAAAAATTTTGCTCATAACCTTGATACTTTTTTGCTCGTAGTTGTAAAATGAGTTCTAAAAGAAATTCTTCGTGCTTAAAGACATCTTAATTTTGACTTGAAAACAAGAACCTGTATTTCATTTATTACTCGTCTAGAAAAGTATTTACTTCTTTAAAATTTAGAGCACAATTTGCTTTTGAATATTTCAAATGAATGGTCTTTTCAAGACCATAAGTTTAAGCCTGTTGGAAGTGATCCTGACAGTCTGAATTTCAGTTTAGTAAAATGAGCAGAAGGTTCATTCACTTCAAGATAATATTTATATTCTGCAATCTGACTACCTCACGTTATTCTCCTTACCTTAGTTGTTCTTTGTTAGCCTCATTTTGCAAATGACAATTTCAGCTATTCTGCTGAATTTCTAGAAGGACACTTTTAGTTTCACAGAAGTTGTCTGAATTAGCATTGATGTAAATATTAATGAACTGCTTACTTATTGGAAAAATGTCTTACACTACGAATATACTCATTCTGTCTGAGAGACCACACATTTCTGGTAGTTCCTATACGTTGTAGTCACATTTGGGACCATTTAAAAGTTGCCATACCCTTTTGTGATACCTGAGCAACAGATTTATAGATATGTTTAAGATCACTCTAAGTCATACAGTTTACAATATTAGTCATGATGCCACCAAATTGTGTGTATATGCAACATTTTCTAAGGAAATCTGAATTCTGGCTGTAACAAATGACTAGAAATATGAGGTTAAACCTCATGTTAGAAATATATTTTTAGCGTCCTATTTTCATGCCGCCTCTCAGAAGTTTAGGCATGTATCTGTTGCCATTAACTAGTAGATACGGCCAGCTGTCATTAATGCCCAGCCTAATCTTGGCATGCACTGGAGAAGAGACCACACTAGGTAGGCACTGACTAACGAAAGCATTACCCTCTCTTCCTTTTCCGTATGTTACCTGTGGCACCTGTGGACCTTCATATTGGAACGAACGGTTTCTCCGGATGTGTCTCCTGCTGGTTCTTTTGTAAACCACTCACAATATAAAACAAATCACACCTGTGCCATACCTTTTTTACACATCTCCATATGGACATGAACTGTGTGCTTATGCACTGACCCTTCCCATACCTTATTACCACCCTCCTGTCTGCCTCCTTGGCACATTGACACCCAACAGCGCAATGAGCGCTTCACTCCGGGTGGTGCGAGGGGAATGGGTCCTGGTAACCCCGGGTATGGCAGGGTCCGCGAGGAGTTTGATGGTCCTGCTAAGAAACCCCGTTTTTAAACGCTGCCCTTTTGATGCTCCCAGCAGCACCATTTGTACAGTTTTTCTCTAAAAACAAAAATGTTGATTCGAATTTCTTGTATTTAAGTTTAAATTGTTACAACATTTTAGCCAATTTACTCAGTTATTGACAGTCAATATTTTCCTTTTTTACTTTGTCTCTAGTCTGAAAAGAGAAGTTACTCTTAGCTGATCCAGTTGTTCTTTTTTTGACCATGTATAATTTTTTTTTTTTTTTTTTTTTTTTTTAAAGATGTGTTATGCTCTGTGAGTCGTCGTGAAGTGATAACTGTAACATTTTTTCTGAACTTCCTATGGCTGTGTTTTGTGCCATGCATTTGGAGTCAACGCATGTACTATAATAAAGAGACATTGGTTCAATCAGGAAAAACCTTTAACCTTTTATTCTTAAAAATGAAACGTGTAGTACGTTCAGAAAGTAGCAATGGGCTGTTTGCGGAAGTTGAATAATGTGGTTACCTCTGCCATATTAGCTCTTAAAGATTCTATGTGTTATTTTCTCAAGTCCTGTCCACTTTAGTTCAGTGATTCGTACACAGTCTGAAAAGAATTAACTCGTGGTATGACAGAAATTAGCTGCAAGTACGACATAGCTTTAATCAGCAAATTCCCACATTGAAATATATTGTAAAAATACTTATTCATCAAAGGAATAATCATATATTTACCACCTGCTTAAAAAGACTCTAGACTGGGAAGCAATGTTGAACAGGGTTCTCCAGATCATTGAAAACTTAATTAAAATAAGATTTAACACATTTTAATATTTTTACGTTTCCTGTAAATTAGCAATAGCATTTGCAGGAATTTATTTATTTATTTATTTTTTTAAGAAAAAGTTGTTAAGATTCATTTTTATAAATTGGTTATTAAAATGGTCACAGTCGCGTTTTAAAGAACTTCATTAATTTTTAATAATGCAGGGTGGCTCTGATATTATAACCCTGTTTTCAAACAAGTATGTTTCCTTTTATTTTTTGAAAAAGGGGAACTTTTAGGCTTTTTCTTGGTTTTTAGGAGAGGCTTTTTCTGAGTTATGTTGCATTCAATGAGTAACTCTGCTTTTACAGTCTTGCCTCAGGACAGAAGAAATATCACACATGGAACCTTTAAGAAAACCTGTGTAATACTGTGTGACTAACAGTGGTCTTACAGAAACATAGTGCTGAAACCGCACAGTCTGTCGTAGACAGGCAAAATCCACTCAAGTGTGTGTCCTTGTGTGCATGTTTGGAAGCTGGAGTTATTTGACTACATTTACATGCAGGTCATTCTGTTATTGCTAGCATTTGAAGCATTTGTGAGGCATTCTTTCAGAAGGATAACTGTCATAAAAAATGCACAAAGCAAATGCCACCATCTTTAAAAACGGATGATGTTGTTAAATTGGGATGAAATTGTAGCAGTTTCTGTATTGTTATGTAAAGGATTAATTTTGATAATTATGAAGGTTTCCATAAGGGTGGACTGATGTGACTCTGGACTCCTATAGGTTCTTTAAGGTGTTTAGGTTAACCTTAAGTGGTAATAGTTCAAACAGCACCACGTTTCTGCATCAGTTGAAGTAATACAATTGTATGTAAATGTAGTCAATAATGGTTATGGACGAACTTGAGGCATATTATAGGTCTATAAAAGTTTGTGTGTAAAATGTATCTTTGGGGAAGTGCAGTGGCAAATCTTGACATCAGATATGTCCATATTATACTTAAACGCCTTGGAACATCCATACTTGGATACGTATGTCAAGTCTTAGAATTTCTAAAAGTCTAGTAACTAGCAACCAATGGTTCATCAGAGATCTGACGTTTCAGGCTGTGACGTCATAAATGACTGAGTCACTGTTGGATTTTGGAAAATGATTTTCAGTTATAAAGCTCTAATTTTGCTAGAGCAGCACAAAGACAATAAGTCCCTTTGTAAGAACGCATAGGATGCCCTAGTTTTCAAAACCGCATGGATGTGTGCAGTGGGCTTAAACGACAGTCTGATTTGCATCTTTTCTATTTCACTGATATGTTCTTGTGTATCAGTTAACTTTTGACAAACCAGCACTACGATCTCATTTAAAACTAGAGACTCCAAGGCTATTGTATCAACTTTGTCAACAGGGCTCATGTGCTGTTTTTTTTCCGAGGACCTGCCTTGTTTGTGGTAAATTTATCACTATTCCCTTCTCAGACTGACTTGTATGACAGATTGGGTTACATTCAGGAGAACCCATTCTCAATCTCTGCAGAAATGTTTAACTGTATCTGCATTAATGACTTTAATGGCACCTGCCATTATAATGGCAATAATATCCTGTACTATTAGGATATTCACATTATCTCCAAACACAGCACGAGATCAAGAGACAAGAAGTCCAAATATTTTTATTTTTTTTTCTAATTGTGGGACTGCTCAAACAGTAATAATGTAAGGATGGCCCAACCAAAATTGAGTGCCATAATTAAACGGACACCTTCCTCCATTCACAAGCCTACCTTTACAACCTTTGTCAGAGTTGTCTGGTAAGAGATGGCCTGAAAAGTGAATGTAAGTAATTTTGATCTTTTAATAATTTCAACTTTTGTTATTAAGCAGATTTTATTTTTTGCGTGTATTAACTTGGCTCTGTTCTATTCCACTAGCTTTAACTTTGACATTCTGTGAATCATTGAAAGTATTTTTCATTCAACATTAGTTACAATTTTGTAGTTGGTGGAAGCTTGCTGATCTCGCACAGCAACTAGCTGATCATTGTAGCTTTTTCTGTTTTTTTCTTCATGTAGAAGAAAATGTCCTCCATTTAAACATGGATTACATAAGACATCAAGAATCAAATATTTTTAGTGCACCTGTTAATGTCCTTCACACAATCAAACATGCAATGAAGGTAAGGATTTTAACTTTAATGTCTTCTATCATGTGGCATCCCAGAATCCCACAAAACAAACCTGAAATGGCCACAGAACAGAAGATTTGGATGTGTGGATGCATTCAGTAATGGGAAGGATATAAAGGAGTGTTTATCTCAAATGTTACTTGTGTTTGTGTTATGTACATGTTTTCTTTAACAGGTATGGACGGCTTTAAAGATAATGGACTGTGGCTGAAGTGTGGCTGGGTAGTGAGGACTTGGAAAAGCTGTAGCTAAGAAACTCAAACGCTGGATCTGAAACTAGTGAAAGTAGTGAGATATAATCCCTATTTAATCCTGTACATACAGTACATGATTTCCTTCCAAGAGAGTAGTCTAATGAGGTACATTAATTAGATGTTTGTCATTGTGATATGGTAGTCAAACCCCTGGGAAGTCAACTGGATTGTGATTCTAATCCATCCTTGTAGCTTTCTTGATGAATTAGAAAACTTCTTATTTTATCCAATATTGTGTACTTCAAATATTTAGTGTATATTTTCTTATTTAATTTTGAAAAAAGTTTCAAAAATTTAGTAATAGTAATTCACAATGGAATGCAATAAATTTTAATTAATATATTGCAGATTAATATCTATAAATACACTTAATGGCATTCAGAAAAATCATAACTCACTGATCTGATGTGGGAATGGAATTTAATGCCTTCAAAGTCCACAACACTAAATTTGTGTTGGTCGGTTATTTCTAAATATTCAAAAGAATAACGATATAGGTTTAAGGCACTAATTGTTCTTTGCAACATCAGTGCTTTGAGTATAATTTTCACATAACACTACATCTCAATGATGGATTGTTATGCCAGCTTTTTTAAAAATATATTTGGCAAAGAGAAAGCCTGTCTACATGGTTTATACGCTCGTATTAAATGGTCAATTTTGGATGAACGTTTTTCATTGCAAAATAACAAATCCTATAACTAATAGTTATTTGTACAGATGTATTTGCCAATCTTTTCCTCATTCTTTAGACGAATGATTCCTTTTTAGCGCAGTGGCATGCACTCTGAATTTTTCTGACTGTATGCACAGATGACTGGATTTTCAGATTAAAATAAAGATTCCTCAAAGTAGTTGTGACATAACTAACTGAAAAAGGATGTTGGAAGTCAAATAATCTCCAACATTTAGGAAACAGTTTAGATCTGCAATCAAAGGTATGTAGGTACCTTTAAAATATGCCCTTTATACATCAAATTCCTTTTAGGTAAAACATTTAGAAATGCATCACTGCTTTTAGATTGAATTACATTTTACTGGCTTAAATATAGTTCTTTTACTTAATAACATAGTGTGCATTTTGAACGTTGTAACGTTGTCTGTGTTGTGTACAACTTGTTTTTCTTTAACAGGTTTGACCATCTGTTAAGGTGTTGGACTATGAAAAGGAAGTTGCCAAGCCAAGACATTGAGAGTCTGTAGCTTCTGTTGGAGCGGTTTTGTAAATGAAACTGTGTCACTCTAAAGGACCAGAGTGATCAGATAATAGTGGCTCTATAACTTGGACTGTAGGTTAGAATATTTGGGAATTTATATATTTGGATATTGCTCTCGCACAAGTACACCGTTTTAAGGAAAATTCTTATATTTATGTCTATTGTATGTTTACAGTTGCTATACTTTAATGCAGAAAAAATCCCTTTCTGCTATTTTGACATGAAAATAAACCCTTGACATTCTTCAAGGGGCCCGGTTACCCACTCCACATTTTTGTGTTCCACTTTGTCTTGTGCATATTATACTGACTGTTTTTGCAGCCATGCAATTCACTCTGTCTTCAAGCTAGGTCTTCTGTCTTTAAGGTCTGTTTAAGAGTCCTCAGATTTTTCTTTATCCTTATTTGCCACCTTTGGAAGGACTTTGAGGTTCTTAGTTGTACTGGTCACAGATGATAGATTCCAGATAACAACTAAAATGTGACAGAAGTAGAAAGTATTCTGTAAAATGTATTGAGGACAGTTTGAAGCATTTGACTCTTATAAATTCTAAAATGTAAGTTTTAAGAAGAGCATGTGAATTTGTTACATTTTTATATATGAAAGAAATAATGGAATTTTGTTCTAGTTCCTCTTTAAAAGATTAAGAGACTGAGTTTGATATTGCCTACATGTTTTAATGTATTCAAGTAAAAATAGCTGTCATGCTTGCTTATACAGCGCTATCAAACCAAAGCAAGTTACATTACACAAATACATGGATTACACGTTGTAAAAATGGACAAGTTTGGCAGTGGAATTATAAAAACGAAAGAGGAACACATTTACTCAACATCTGAGGTCTGAAATCGATGCCTCTTTATAGATGTATTTGACTGGAATTGTGGTGACAATGGAAAGCTTTGACATTCAAGTGAAGTCGCAGCCACAGGCAAGTGAAACATTGCAGTAAGCAGACTCTTCATAAATGGAAATCAAACTTTTTGACAGTCACTCTTAACAGCTTTAACAATTGTCTAATGATCACACAGCACAGGTGTGATCAATATAGCAACTAATTAAGGTTCATGGTGAGAAAAATGACCTGTTGCCTTCTAGGGGTGTAACGGTACGTGTGTGACGTTAAGTGCTAACATGTATATGTTTCTCTGTAGGAGGAAAAAGACTGCCCGTACCAGTGATATCCACATACAATCTTACTTTTACTGCTACATGATTAGTTTTTTTTTATTAGTTTTTTTTTTTGCTTAATAAATAAAAATTAATGTCATCTGTTAGACAGTGAGCTGAATCCAGAACCAGTTTTAAGTATTACTCTAGTGACAACTTTCTAGGGGCAAGTAGCTCACAGCCTCTAACCTCATGTTTAACTCATTTTTCCAGTTGGACTAAAATCAAAAAAACTCAGTGTACTAGTTACGCTTCGACTACATGTAGTTCTCGTGTCTCACAGCTCACTGAGCTCAGCTTTTAACATCTTTAGAAACTTTTATTGTATTTCTTCAGTGCAATCCAATCCAAGGTCTTTTTCTTGGTTCAGTAGAAAGAGGTTTTGTTTTTTGTTTTTTCTGATGGCATTGGCAGTCACACCATTAGGATTTCTAAATACACTCTCATAATGTGATTCTGCCTAACCTGTTAAGGAGCAGAAAGTCATTTTCTTTTCCAGAACATGTTTGCTGCACACCAGGTATGCATTGGCCATAAACTCTGGTAGGAGTATTCTTGAAAGCTCAGCCAGAACTCTGTGCTAACTCACACAACATATTTTATATTTAAACATTATATTTAACTGAAACATGAGTGCTCCCAACAAACAATACCTATTCTGACAGTTCTGTTGTCCTCTTTTCAGGAGTTGTTTTTTTTTAATGTAATTATTGCTAGTGTTTAAACCTTTTTATGATGAAATCATTCCCCAAATATGGGAAAGTATTTCTCTTTATTCTCAATTTAGAGTTTCTTTTGTCAAAGTAAGAATTATGGCCAACTTTTAATTTAAAAAAAAAAAGAGGCTGCTCATAGGATAATTTTGACTTTTGTTAGTCTTTTGTTGCCTCTACCAAAAATATACCACACTGACTGTTACATCCCCACTCCCCACACTTTACATTGTGACTCAAGTTTTATGTAACAACTTTTTACTCCAGCACATAATCTCATCAGTTCTGTCTGAATTACCATAATAGTAAGAGCTACACCAGCAGACCGATCAAGCTCACAGACCTGAGTGAGGCAGGATGTTCGATGCTGTCTTACGGTTGAAGAGGCAGCGGCTTGTTGTGCCTGTCTGGTTGTGCGGGTTTCATGTCTTTGGGTAAAAGAGGTGCATTAGCTGCTGTCAGCCAGCTTGTCAAAGACAAGCTGCCCCAGTCCACAGTAGAGGCTCTTCTCTGCAGTTGGGTTACATTGACGATGAGTAGTTCTGCAGATGTCAGTGGACAGTAAAGCCTGGACTTGTTTGCACTGCAGCCAGAGGTATGCTTACACAGATCAGCTGAACAAGTAAGGTAAGTGTCCCATCCATGTTTATAATGCAAGATGCACAGTTGTCCCATGACTTAACTCTTCTGTCTTCTTATTCCACGTCACTGCTCACAGTGATGTCTTCAGGGCTTCTGGCATCACACTTTCAAAGAATGGCATCACAGTGCAGATCTCTCTTCATACTTCTTGGCAATAGATTTGCTGTAGCCTGTGGAGTGTGTGTGTGTGGTTGTAGTACTTTGGCTCCTCTGTATGTGTGCATGAAAACAAGTGTTTGTGTGGATTCAAATATATGGAACACAGCGCTGAAATGAAAGGTATTCTGCTTTTTTTTTTTTTTTATAAAGTATTGCCTGGTACATTTAAGCTCCTAAGTGGAAAAAGCAGAAGTCTTGTCTACAACCGTACACGATGTTTTGCATTTTGTTTCCTTTTCTCGAAAACCTATATTTGAAAGTGATTAGTTTGGAAAAAGGCAGGGTGTTTGCAGCAACAAACTGGGGGTGGGGGGACAACCAAAGCCCAGCTCTACCAGAGGCAAAATACTATGAGAAACTGTTCTGCTTTGGCCATAACTTTGTTTTTTATGTTTTGAAATACTCAGTGCTTTCTGATTTCAGTCTATTCCTGCTTTGATAAAGTAATAGTACTGTTAAACACCCAGTGGCCTTTCATCAGCACATCCTCAGTCAGTCGCAATGCAGTTAAAATCAGTCATGAAAAGTACTTTCACACTGTGTAAGCAGCACTTTTATCTTTGAACCCTCTATCAGCACTACTCCCTCGCCCTCTCTGCCTGTCTGAAATGACATACCGATTGTATTGGTACTGGGTTGGGTTTTTGAAGTGTTGAAGTGACTGTACAGAATGCTGTGGCAAGACTTAACTGGCACTAATAAGTGGTCACACATCCCTTGCGTTTTGGCTTCTCTTCATTGATTGCCAGTAAATTTTAGGTTTCATTTTAAAATTTTAGTTTTAACTGAACAGCTCTACATGGTGAAGCTCCCCATTATATCTCTGACCTATTGAAACATCATGCTTCCTACCGGTCACTTCAGGTCAGAGGTTACTGTTGGTCCCATGTATTGGGTTCAAAACACGTGGGGATCGAGCTTTTCAGGCACTGGGTTGTGGAATTCTCTTCCACTGTCTTTACGCTGTACAAACTCCACTGACTCTTTTAAAAGCAGCTGAAGACATTTTTATACCAACAAGCTGTTAAAAAGTGTTTTCATTGTTTCATATTATTATTATATGTATATTTCAGGGTTTATTGTGAAGCGCTTTGATTTTTATCTGTGAAAGTGCTATATTTAAGATGTCACATACTTTTTGGGTCCTCAACCTTTCTAAGTTGGTAGTTCTTTTTCTTAAAAATATATAACAATACTTTTACAATTTTGTGCATAAATAACTGGTCAGACTTGTGTATGTGGAGCAAATAGAAACACAAAGGACCACTCATGTTTCAGTAATCTGTTTTAAACAGAACGAGCATGAAAGTTTATACTGTACCATTTCATCATGTAGAGCATTTGGGCTTTAAGTTACGTAGTGTTTGTTGTCAATCTGATTTTAGTTGCATCAAGACAGTTTGCTGCTTCTCATCTGTGGAATGAATTCGGTGTAAAACTAGTGAGAAAACTGTTGTTTTGAAGCTGGGAATTTGAGCTATGAAATGACACACAACCATTTTAGCTTTTGAAAGGGCATGATGCTAACTGTAGATAGGTTAGTAACGCATGTCTGTATTCACTGTGAAATTAATCGTCATTCTACCTTTTGCAAACAATATTTTAAAATGTACCGGCAGGGTGAAAGCTGAGCTGAACATCACACTCCTGGGTGTCTTTTATTGTATCTGGTTGCTGAATAAAGACACTTTTAGGTGAAGGGTGCACTTAACACAAGATATGGGTTAATCTATATTTAAATTAAAAAAAACATTCACACACTCAAAACCTTAGGGTACATCACCATATTCTTCTTTGCCTAATGTACTTCAAACTCACAAGGAAATTATTTGCTGAGGTCATAAAATTAGGTGCAGTATCGTTTTCTTGACTTCATTTAGTCTGGCTTTTGTAATCGGGAGTTGCCCCCTGCTGGCCATTAGAAACAAAGCAGATTTAATTCACTCCCATATTAGCTTCACATTTAAAAACGATGCTCAGTCCACTGTGTGTGTGTGTGTGTATATATACAATCTGTATTCTCAAACACTGTTTTTAGGAACAAACTGATGGTTGCGTGGTTTGTCGGAGAAAATTTGGACAATCGTTTTAAAGAGTGTGTCCAGTGATCAGCTTCAAATGGACCTTTTCCTTTCTTCTCTCAGTACCTCTTATTCCTCATTCCTTCCTGTGACTCATGAATGGCATATCATGCACTGACCAGCCAGCCATTTGAATAAATGTACACAAGAAGACTGTGGCAGTTTCGTATGTTGCTTGTATTTAGATCTCTCATCTCTGTAGGGCTCTGCTGCCCTTGAGTCTCTCGAGCTGTGGCTAGACTGTGTTCAGCCAATGGCGGCTGTGATGATTTCATCTCTGCACTGTGATCCATTTTCTAACCATGCTCTGAGTCCTGATTGACTACAATCCTTCCTTATATCCTGTTGGAGTGTGATGCCAGAACTACCCTTCAGTCCTGTAATGGCCTCTTCAGAAAGGGCCCTGCCCAGAGTCCGAAAGACTGACACTGAAAACGACCACGGCTTCGTCAGTGCTAGGTTTATGGTGTAGCTCCAGTTTGGGGTACCTTTGCAGTAAAACACCTGATGTGTCAGTATGAAAGTCTAGCTTCACATGGCTTTGTAACAGATGGACCTACCTACCTCTCAAGGATTGCAACGGATTCGAACGTTGTCATGAATTTGTCTGTCCTCTCTGCAGTTTCTAATAAATTATTCATGTTCTGGGTGCTGAGATGCCCTTCAGTAACAAACACATGCATACACGTGCACACACTTCATTCATTCACACATTTTACTTACCCTCACACACGATTTTCTTCTAATTTATGTTAGAACTAACTCATTTTATTTTAAACATCTGTCACATGACATACAACACATACACCTACACACACCTACATACCTACACACACAGGCTCTCACTTTTGTGTTTATGCATTGCAACCACAGTGAGTAGTGTTTGAGTAAACCTGGTGATCAGTCCACTGTCAGGCTCTCATTGTCTGTCTCTTGCTGCAGGATCCTCGACCATTAGAGGGAGGCTGAGGATCTGCACGGATTTACCACCGTAAGTGTTGGACAAATGCAGTGTGTCTGCTTAACTTCCAAACATGTAAAATATCATCTGCAGCACTGTAATGCATCTTATTTAGAAACTTACCTTTGAGTGTTTGGTATTTTGTTGGTTGTGAGGCTGCTATGACAAAACTCCTGAGTTACTTTGTCACATGACACAAGTCAAACATCACTGATGTATTTTTTTGTTTCTGTGTTGTAGGGAAAATGAAGATTGTCTTGTAAAATGTCAAAGCTGGAGGAAGCTCGCTGTAACAGGACGCCAGGATGACCTCCAGGCTGGCTCATGTGCAGTTCGTCCTTCAAAACATGGATGTGAAATGTGCGTGCACAGTTTTTTTTTTGTTTTTTCTTTTTAAACATTTGAATAGAAACACACTGTGAAATATCTTATTTGCAGCACTTAAGTCTAATAACTCATTACTGTTTCTCAGGTGGCGGAGCAGTACCAGAACTCATCCAGCAGAGGGCAGTCTGCAGTCCAGAGGAGAGATGCGCTGTTTTCTCTTAATAATAAAAGATATAAACCTGAGTTTTGTTTCCATGTCTTACTTTTCACCTGATTACCTGTTTTGTCTAAGTTAGTTTCATTTAAGCGTTACACTAAATTTAAATTGCATTAAATGAGATGTCAAACTGTTTTTCTGTTTAAATTGAGGTTTGGTGCTCTGTAAAAGGAAAAGGAAAACCACCAGCACTGTAGTGTAGTTCATTAAAGTCATTAGGGTTAATTTAATCAAGTGTTACAGTACACGCTACTCATTGAATGCTTGGAAATGGCAGAAAACTGTAAACTAGTGATGTTTACTTTGGTAGACAGGTCCCAGAGGTTGATTCAGAGCCAGGAAAAACCTGCAATCACTCATCAAACTCACTAAACTCCTGGTGGACTGAGCAGCCTGCCTTCTTGCTGGATTCAGTGCCTCAGCTGTGAAGCACTCTGATAGGAGTCCAGTCCAATTACAATTAAGGCTAAAGGTGCAATGTTTCCGCTGCTGGCCCACACTTGCATCTCAAGTATTGGCTGTCAGTCTTGGAGCAGGTCCAGCCGAGAAGCAGCAAGATGATCCGGAGCAGTCTGAAGGCACAATCTGAATATGTGTCGGATCGTTGTTGTCTGACCTGAGCTCCACCCTGGCACAAAAACAGGCTCCTAAAGGCCAAAAACACAAAGTGAAAACTTGACTTAAATTAGTGCTAAAGTGAGTCACCTGAGCTCAACCTGCCAGAGCATCTATGGAGGGTTAAAATATGTCTTGCAAAAAGCTTCAGGCAAACCGGTGTGAATGAAACTCAAAACCAAACAATGACATGATCCAGTGTGATTTAATCCCCCCACAAGATCAAAAACATGCTGTCCTCTTTTACCCTGCGGCTGAAAGTTTAGTTTGCTATGCGGCATTATGTCAGTGCGGTTTGGTGCTGAAAGACTTTTTTTTTTTTTTTTTTACTTTCGCTAATGGTTGTCAATTTTCAGAAATGGACCCATGAGTGTGATTTGTAATGCCGGTTTCCCACCACCGTGCTACTGTTGCCCAGTCTAGGACCGCTTCCATGCATTTCCATTAAAACAGGACCGGTGCTGATGACTCTGCTGGGCCTAAAGCTGGAATCAGTGGTCATGTGAGGGGCTATTGGCACAGTATTTAACCTACACGATGGGGCTGTGATAATGTGAGCAGTGAATAACTCACCTTTTGTCTCGCAACTAAGCTTGTGAAATGCATGTTACATAATTCTGTAATTTGTCTTAGGGAGAAAGTGTTCAAGTTTATATTGATCGATTTAGATTTTTGTTATAATATAATAATAATATAATAATAATAACAAGCAAATCAGCGGTTTGTGATCTTAAGCATCAGGACAACACACAACAGATAGCGGCGTCTCAAATATTAAAGATTTACTTAAATTTTAACGTAACTACTGCAGCATAAATTCACTGTGTTAAACAAACATTATGAAAAAAATAAATCGTGAAGTTGCTAAAATTACAGTCCAATATATTTGGTGACCTCACATGTTATCAAAAATAAATGAGTACATTTTTTAAAATTTCGAAACCATTAAAATGAATAAAAGTTACTGAAATAACTTAAAAGCAGAAAATGTTGTGATGCTGAAATCGTGAGATGACGTAAACAATGATTAAATGATGCCAGTTAACTGTATATACACTTGGGTTTATTCATTTACATCACAGCTTATTTTCTAAGCAGCTCATGCTTTCTGTATGAAAACATCTAAGAAATACAAGCTGTCAGATTGCTTTTGTGCTACTGAAGCTTAAAGTTTAATTAAATATACCAGACATACAAAGCCAAATAAACAGCCAGTGAAGGAGAACTGTTTTCTCAGAAGGAGTTAAAGTTTTTGGATAACGCTCAGACAGACATGATATTGTTTCCAAAAAAAATATTCACGTGGACTTTCTCTCTTGGATATATGCTTCAAATCCAAGAGAACAAATATTAACAAACCTTCATAGAGAACAAGTAACAGGTTTCACAAATATATTTCTGCAAAAAGAGCTTCCTGTTTGGGATCACCACCGAACCAGGGTCCCGGTTTATTCTCTCACATGAACGTTTCCTGGACACTTCCTCACCTACCACCTGCTCCCTCGACTGTAAGCCGACCTGGTGAAGAGGGAAAAGGAGCGAGGGAGAGTTGGTGGTGTCCACCTGGCCGGCTCCATTCATGCATCATTAATGGCCCTGCATCATTGATGCGGTCCGCTGCCCACAGATAGAAGTGGTACAATGTCCTCCTCATCCACCCCCCGCAGCCTGTAGACAGGCAGGCTATAGATCCAGGTCTTTAGGTGAAGCCATATCTGCCATCCACCTCGTGACCATGCTATCACTTTCACTAGTCTTCATGTGTTGCAGCAGAAATCAGTGTCAAGATTAGTTTAGAGAGCATATTTTCAGGTGTATTCTCCTGCAGGTGTAACACACCCACAGATAAATGAGCGGCACTGCTGGAGCTGCTCCCCCGACAGCTGTCCTGGGTTTGGACGCCGGCGGATCGTGGCGGCAGAGAGGCGCCCAGAGGAGTGGAGCTTTGGTCCAGACCTACCTGCTCACCGGCTCCATCCTCCCTCCACCTTCAGCAGTGGGAAACGGGGCAGCTAAAACCCCCCTGAAGCTGCCCTCGCTCGTACCTGGAGCCAAAGGCCCCCGCGGGCGAAGCAGCATGGCTCGTCTCAGGTAAGAAGTAAAGAAACAAAAGGAGAAGCAGAAATAACTTAACTTTCTTGATGCATTCTGACAGGTCAAAGTCCAAACAATATAAAATGACAATAATGTGGAGATTAATTCATATAATTAATAAAACTATATACTAATTAATACATGAATTAGATTGTTACATATCTCTTTTGTGTGCATCATGTTTTCGGAGGAGGAATGATGTCATTCGGTTATTTTGTATCCAGTTATTCTGATCTCAGCCTCTCTTTAGTTTCGTGTCAGTGACGCCTGCAGTATTGCACATTTTTCCTCATGAATGAAAAGAATAAAATCAACATGAAGTCTTAAACATGTTGTTCTTTGTTGTTTTCTAGATTGAGCTGTTTAAATAAATTCTGGCTGAAATTTGTGTTATCAGCATTACCTGACATTATAAGTGACTGATTATACTTTCCTGATTTTCTGTTACACACATTATATGCATACTGCTAAAGTGGTGGATGATCATATTGAAAATATCCAAATAATGACGTCGGTATATGTAGTACAATCGAGCATGTCTTTATTTTTGTTGTACAGTCAGCAGAAGTCCCACAACAATAATGCTAAATGTAATAAATAGAAAATAAATATACAAAAAAAGCAACTTTAAAAAAATAAGTCAATTATTTAAAAGATCACAAATTAGTTTTTCAGACTGTAGGTCCTGCATGTTGGCATCCTGTACCGATGACCAGATAGAAGCAACTTAAACTCTCCTAACGGGTACAGTTATTAGTGACTGGGCCTCTTCAAAGTCATGACCTTATTCAGGTGAGGACGGTCATTCAGGGTCAGTCTTGCAGTTTTACTGCACACTGTGACTAAACCTTGAAGTGTACTTTTGTTTTCTAAGTTCAGATTCACTGACCTACTCTCATAAAACTGCTTCTGATGTGAAAATCGTGAATTGCGCCATTAAAAGTACACATCCTGACGATTTTTTCTGCACACGTGAAGCTCAGTGGTCAGCTGGAAACCCTGTGAGCCTAAAGCTCGGGCTTCAGGCTGCTCTGAACACTCAGTTGCACTCTTTTTTTTCCTGCTCTTGGCTCTCTGTGATGTCGGTGAGAAGGGATATAACTAATGTAGTCATCACAAGCGGACAGCTCTGGCTGTGAGAAGCTTTACCCACCTGCTGTTCGAACCTTCTGTTTGAGAAGAAAAGCAAAAGATCTCAAAAAGGAGAGATTTGGGTTTTCACCGAGACCCAGTGTACGATAAATAACGATCATTTTAACTGTGAGTCTTGCAAGACTGGTCTAATGGAGCTGTAAATGTAGGATCTGTGAGGTTTATGTGTTTTCTATGTATGGATTCTTATATATACCCAGCATCTAAAGATACAAATGGTATGTGGTACTAAAGATGTGGACCCCGGGTTGAGAATGAAGGCTTCGGTTATTTACATTATATACTCAGAGTTATATTATTATCCATCAGTCAGGTGAAATCCTATGGAAAAGGAACATCAGGTGTATTAATAACATAAACACTAAAGCCGTCATGTAAATGATACCAGGATGTCCTGGTAACTCACTGACCTTCAGTACCAATCATGCAGCTGTGGCTTTGAAAGTGATTAATCCCACCGTGTGTGTCATCTCCACTATTCACTTTAGCAAAAGTGCCTGTTAAAGCGTGGAGTGGATGCTTGACTGGAATTACACCGGAATTGTTTCCTCTCAGAAGCGACCCAGTTTGATGGCTTCATGTGGGCCGCAGCCCAGTGTGCCATAAATCTCAGGCGTGGAAACCGATCTACCGCCTGATGCAGCACCCAGTGGTGTTTCGCTCAGAGGAGGGCGAAACCTGAGTGAGACACAAACACACACTTCAGGCTCTTAAACACACCTCCCTCACTGTCCAGCAGAGTATTTGATGGCATCTGCTTACCCAAGCAGAGCAGGTTTTGAATAACCACCAAGTAAATGAAGAGGAAGTTCTGGTGTGTGTGTGTGTGTGTGTGTGTGTGTGTGTGTGTGTGTGTGTGTGTGTG